TTAACATTTCATAATCTTTTTTTCATATGTGCATATTTTTAAAAAAACTTTATATCAAATATTAAAGCCCTAACTATGCTCTCTAAGATAACAAAATCCAAATTTAAAAGACTGAAAGTAGAAAACAGAAATACATCTTTCAAACAACACAGCATAATATCAAGAAACTTAAGTCCAAGTTGTCAATAATTGTTTTACTAATATTTCAACTGTATTCATGGCTAACTCTAATAAGCAAAAAAAAATAACTTTCGAAAATATTATTCTTTGGAATGTTTTCTTTAATATTATAGCATGAAATAAATTATTTGAGAACATTGTTTTTTTTATTTATTAATTTCTACAAAAAATAAAATGACCTCTGTGAGTCGGTCCGTGGACATAAATATCTCGTTAAAAAAGGTAAAAATGAATAAAAATATTGGAGAACAATTATTTTTATTCAATTTAACAAACATTTACATGATATGTCTATTTAAGGATATAATAATATCGGCCATATTTTGCTTTCGAAATCAATATGTGATTTTATTTACATATGTTTTAAATATTGGCTAAAGTTTATTACAATTATGGTATTTATACAGATATCTAAAACATGTGTGCAGTCTTGCTTGTAGCAATGGTGATAATGAAATTAAACTGCGATTGTCTAGAAGCGTAACATTTGAAAAATGTGAATGATTCAACTAAAGGATCAGGATGGTAAAAATAACAAAAATACTGTGTAATTTAACAATTTTTATAATTTTACTCAACAAAATAATAATAAAGCCAGGAATGAAAATATTGCATTTAACAGAATTGTGCTAAATATCTAAGAAAACGTGAAAATTGAGGGTTTAGCAAACACGTTAACGTTATATCTAATAGTTTCTAATGCGCAGCCAATAAAATATTACTGCGCAGTTACAAAACAAATGAAACTGACTGAATGGATTTTTAAGTAGAAAAATAAACTATATACGTACAAAATACCAAAATAGAATGTAGAATAGACGGCATTTGGAAATTGTCAGTCTTAATATGCCTCAAGTATTAGCAATAATGACTAGAAAAAGATTGTTCTTGCAATTTATTAGGTATTTTATTTTTCATTAACGTGTTTGCTAATGTTATGCTACTAAACTAAGACATAACTACGTACACAACAGTAATTAAAATGAGTAGGTAGATTTAGTATGCAAGTCATTTGTACAACCAACAAATTCCTATCACACCAAGATTTTCTATACAGTTGCAATTTCTAACAATATTATCTTATATAATTTTTTTTAACAGTTTTTTAATAAAAATTCAAATATAGGTATTAATGACTTAATTTTAGTTTGTAACAAATATAAAATTACATAAAAATAAAAAAATTTATCGTAAAATATTACTATTAATACCTATATTTTATTTACAATTCCTTAAATTTTAAAATTGTCTTTGTGCCTAAAAAAAATATTTGACAAAATAATAATTTTATTTCAAAATTTGCCCACCAAATCTTATTATTACTTATTTAAAAATATATATTGAGCAATATGATTTAACGATTTTCCACAGCCTCTAATTTTTTAACACACTTTGTGATAAGTGCTATGCTAACATTTATTTTTGTACCATTTAGTGCAATTTGACATACCTATTGTCGTTTTAGATTCTTAATTAATTTTTCAAGTTATTCTACAATTTCGATATTTAACAGGTTAAATGCCAGACAACAAAAATGTTGATTATTTTAATACGTTTGAAAATATGAAATGTGGCCCGAAATTACATAAAAAGTTTATTCTGTTTTTAATTGATTTTGGAGAAATATCAGTTGTTCGATTTATTTTTTATTGGTGTGAATCACCCTTAACATTGCTACCAAGCCTAAGGACCAAGATTCTGAATTTTTAGAATGAGCATTTTACATGCTTAGAACATTTTTTAATTTAAAAAAAAGTAATTAAAATTAAAAAAAAATGTTGCTCACTATTTTAGATGTTGCTTAAACTCTGTGAGAATGTTCTTAAGGGCTCCAGGTGCCAAATTAAACCTTTGAAAAGTTGTATTTGTAAGCTTTACGTTTACTATTAGATATACTCTGCCCAGCAACGCTAAAATGCAGTATATCCAGTTTAAGTAATTAAGGACAAGAGATCATTTTTATTATTATAAATGATTGTTTATAATTAAAAATGATATTTTGGTAGTAAGAAGAAAAAAATACAATATTATTTATAATATCTAATAGAGAAATTCTACAGCCAAAAACGTTAATAGTCAATCAAATCAACCATTGATGGTTGCTGACAAATTTTATTTTTAATTTTTTCCTCCGTTTGTATACTATACTCAGAGAGTTGAAAACAGGTAATGTTTTATACCGTACTTTCATTTTACATGTAGACAGGTTTTTAAGAGTGACAGATTAATGTTTAAGAGTGGGAGACGCCGAGAGACGGTTTTCGTAATTCAGCAGGAGACCCTTTACCGGCGTTGTGTGATAGTCGAAGTTTGCTCTGAATTATTAATACGAATTACTTTTAAAAATGATTCAGATACTTAATAGTAAATTATTAATCATTGTTTGTTTTCCATTTAACTAAAAGTGTTTTCTTACGTTAAACATAAAAAAATCTCTTTAAAAACTAAAATAAAATATTTCTCTTAAAAACAAATCAAAATAAATAAATCAATTCTCTTAAAACAAAACAAACAAAAAATCTTCTTAATTTAAATTTAATTAAATAAATAAATTTACAGAATAGAACGATCCGGAGATTTAACTGAGAATAGGTCTCTTGTTTGACGTAGAAAATTGCACACTAAAGACCAGCTTATCATGTCAATTTTCTGCTGCAATGTGTAGGACATTATGAATTATAATTTTAAGTTAAAAATTAATTTATGTTAAAACGCTCGAAATACACACTAGAAAATTCAAAACATAACTGAATCGTCGCCTACGGCAACCCGCTTACAATGTATCTGGAGTGGGGCGTTTTGGTTTAATCGAGTGTATATTTTTTAAATGACAATACGGTCTGTTATTTGGTTGCATTGGTGCGTCAGCCTATTTTGCATTTACAAAGGTTTGAATTAAACTCTGTATTTAGATATTTAGTTCAAAGAGCATAAAATTTACAATATTTTCTATTTATAGGCGTACTTTATTGTAAATTGTAAATAAACCAAAAATATAGGTAAATGTTTTTTATATTTTAAAATTAAAAATGTTAAAGATTAAACTAAGACTCACCTTAAATATTTTTTGGATATAGAGCTTTTTTTTTAATGTTGCGATTTGTTTCAAATCTAGTATTTTTAATCTGAAGGGACACACTTTAAAAATCCAATATTTGAAGACCCATTAAAAATAATGATGTAGGCCTAAAACTTTTTAGTAAAATAGTATACTATACAATTTGTAAGGTGAGTCTTAGTTTTATCTTATATATCCTATAACATTTTAAATTGGAAAAGAGAAAGTTTTTATTTTGAAAACTTTAATTAACATACATTTACCTATTTTTTTGTTTATTTAGAATTAAGTAGGCCTATATATACTAAACACAATGTTAACGCACCAATACAAAATGACCGTTTACAAAAAAGTAAACATCTAAAAGATTAATGAATAGGTACCTATTTATAACATTCTGAGTATAGTACAAACACAGGTACAAATATAAAAAATAAATACATTTTGTCAGCAACCTTTTCAAATTAAATTGATTGATTTGATATGGATTGACCCTAAGTATAAAAAAAACAACAAAATTTAAAAAACCGCTTAAAAAAAGACGAGCATTTGCAGATTTTACATTTTTAAATATGGGGGAGTACAAGTACTGCGTAAGCAAACTTTTAATGAAGTAAATTTTTGAGATAAAAATATTTTTCTATGAAATCAGAAAATTAACGATAATTTATTGTACACGGTCCGTATTCAAGTTTCTACATCATTAACAAGCCAGGATTAAATTCGTTAAATCGTTGGAACATTTTCATTATTTTGGATTTTTTTTTTCTTACGTACGTAGGATTTATAATATCTCCTTGCCCCATTTGTCAGAAAAAAAAATAATGGACCCCCCACCCTCTAAGCTTGTTTACATAGTACTTGAACTCCCCCTATAGCATACTCAGTAATTTTTGTTTGCTATAGCATAGTATAGATACAATTTTTTTTAATAATTTGCATTTTCGTCGTTTACACACAGCTGACATTAACGTGTTAAATTTGTAACACCGATTAAAATATTCTACTTTTTTTGTAAGTAAATAATGTTTTTTAAGAATAAAATTTATAAATAGGTAGATATATGCATATTTGTTATAAGCACTCTATATGATAAATAACATTTATTTGTAACTATTAATAAGTTAAAAATAACGATCTTACACATTAGTTAAATGTTTTCGTATTAAAAATAATAAGACTATGGTAGGCGATTTTCGCTGAACACATTTATATGCATAAAAAAAAGTTTTAACAGCATACTAAATCAAAGAATTTAATTAACAAAAGTTAAGAAGAGAAAGATGTTAAAGTAATTAAAAGAAGCAAATGGATAAATAACAGCTTTACCACTTAAAATTAATGAATCACAGACAAAAATAAGCTTGGCCAGTCAAATTTCCATTTTACATTTTAGTTTTAACGTTATTCATTATTTATGAGCAGATAATGCTATCTATATTTTAGTCCTTACAAAAAATAACAAAATTAAATGTAATTATGTGCTCAAAAAATATAATAACGTTTAGTATTGCTGTTTTCATTGACTACCATTTGTAACAAAATCACCAACACAACCTTTAACATTTGCGAGTCCTTAGTGTCCATCCAAAGTATTTACTAGTTAAAAGCTATAAATAGTTAATTTGATTAATCATACGCAATGTTGATTAGATTCTCCTTCTTCTCTCGCCATCTATCACTTTTGACGCGTAAACTTACACTTGCAGATTTAAAATTTTATGTTTTTTTTAATATTTATTTTTTTTAGAATATTTTGTGGCAAAAATAACAATGTATTTTTTAAATTAATCTCTATGCATAATGTTCTCCAACAACAAAGCACTTCATAATTTAAACACCGTGTTTTTGTATAATTTTCCATATCAAAAGGTCTTCCATTTCTACCCATTCATTCCATGTATAATAATTTATCCTAAGAATTGATTTTAGTTTCTGAAAAAATAAGAAATTCAATATTAGTAAGTATACAGTTATACAGGGAATCGATTTAAACAAAAAACATTTCTACATAAAATTCTAAGTAAAATGTAATTCAGTCAACAGTTTTCGACCTAATAACTCTTTTGTTATTAGGTTGAGATTCTCATCCATTTCTTATAATATTATCTAAAATAGTTTTTGAGTTGTTAATTTGTTCGTTAAAATGCCAGCCAACCTAATAACAAAAAAGTTATATATAACTTTATTACTTTATTACTTTATACTATTATATAGCCTATAGGCTTAGTATTTTTGACGCCTATTCTGCCCTACTATGTAGAAAGGCAGTAACTACAAAAAAATCTAAATACGTGTTCTTGTGCCATGATATCATATATAAAGCTATGGACATTTTGTATCTTAATTCAACAAAGAAATGAAGTTAACTATCTCATAAGTTAAATAAATCAATTCAATACCTACTGCTTTTTATAAAAATGCAGTTTATGCTAATTTTTCACTAATTTCTTGTTTAGCAGTTACCCTATTAAAAATGCCCTATAGAACCCATATTGATCCAGATAAGGAAACTAATATGGATTTATATGGTTCTATATATCCTATATGGAACGACCTGGTTTACACTTTGGAATCTATATGGTTTAATATGGAATTTCATTTTAAAATGTAAAACTTAGGGATTTTTATATGGATTTATCTGGTTTCTGTTTTATGTGTTTTTCCATATAGGTTTCCCTATATGGTTGAATATGGAATTCCATTTTAAAATGTATATATATTTAAACGAAAATTGCATATTAAACCATATAGATTCCCCTATATGGTTAAATATGGATCTATATGGTAATAATTTTTTCACACCCAAACCATATTGGGCCAGATAGAGCAATATGAACCTATATGACAATCCATATGGAAATCTCTTTTCTATATGGTTTTCCAGGTATGGAATTCTATCTGGTTCAATAGTGCAATGCCTGTTTCAAATTCCTATATTAAACCAGATAGATTTTTATTTTGTGTTTCTATATGGCATTTTTAATAGGGTATAGTTTAGTGAAAAATATAATTGTGGTTATGTTATAATTATAAAAATGTTTATAAATTCAATTTGCTAATCTAGCTAGAGAAAAGGTATTTTTTTAAGTAGGTATTAAACTTTTTTAAAGTAAAAATTCGTTTATTAACTTAAAATTCACATTTTTGTTTTTTTTTCAATCCAAAAGCCATACAACTTTTTTGTGACGATTTAAAATAAAGTCTTTAATTTTGATAATATACAGTGTGTCCCTGAAACCCCTTTAAAAAATTATACCACAAATTCCTGAGACCAAAATAATTGGATATAACTAAATTTATTTCTACACAAAGGTTTATAACCAAGATACAAGGTGTCAAAGTTAAGTCAGTTTTCGATTTTATTAAATAGCTTCTTAAAAAATTAATTTAGATTGTATATTTAAATAAAAATATTTCTTCTTTTTAACGTGAAAAAAATATCGCTGCGAGTAACCGTTTTCTAGATATTTGCAAATATAATTTGAAAATGTAACTTTTTTTAAAAGTAGGTACCTACTATAGGTTACGATAAAAAAATACATCAAGAGACGCTAATAATTTAGTTACTGTCCAACGTTGTCATTTTTTTTTAATTTATATTTTTAAATATTTTTTAAAAAATAATCATTTTAAGTAAAAATTAATCACAATAAAACAATTTATACGCATACATCTCGAAAAATTGGAGCGACAATAATTATAAGTTGTAGCTTGTTTGCGTAATAAAGAAAAATGTAATTTATTTATTAAAACGTAAATACACTAAGGCGTAAAAATATGTGATCATTTAAACGTAAGAAGTGTCGCAGACAGCGCCCTCTACAACCTGCATTAATTTTCCCCTCCTAAAAAAAACTCAAATATCAAATTTTGTGCAAAAACCTTTTTTGTCGAAAGTTATTTGAATTTATCCTTTTCACCCTATTTTTTTGGACATTTCAAATTTTTTTAGCAAACCATTAAATAGGAATTTTCAAAAATTGGCTCTTTATTTTTAAAATACTTATAACTTTTTCAAGAATTGACTTTTTTCAATTTTTGTTTTAAAATGTACTTTTCAAAAAAATTAAAAAAAAAAATACTCAGATATTCAACGTCTTTTTTGTAATTTTTCAATGTTATGTTTTTTTATTAGAAAGATTTGTCTAATTAATTTTTGTCAATATTATTCTGAAGTACATTTAAAAACAAAAAAATTGGGAGAAAAAACGATAAGACAATTTTTGAAAAAATAAAGACACATTTTTTTAAAAATTTATAACTTTTTTATGGTTAGGGTAAAAAAAATTAAAAAATTCTGAAAAATGGTTTTGATAGGGTAAATAATATAAAAAAGTTTTAGCCAAATCAAAAGGCGTCGGGGTCAAAAGTGGTCGATTTGGTATGGAATTCTCCATATATTAACAAAGTTTTGATTTTTTGACACCACAACTAAAAAACTTTGGTTTAGTACTCGGTTTCAATTTATTATTCCTTATATTATTGATTATATTACATAGTTACGTTAGTGTGTGTATTTAATTAAATGTATCCAAGTGATCATGGTGAATTATTGTTTTTAATTGTTAATAAAATTCAAGAACTAAATCGTTGCATTTTCATGTTTTGCCAAAAGATCCAATTCGGTACGTATATTTGTTGGTGCAGAATTAACTAATAATATAACTATAATTTATATTTAAGTTTGGACATTTTTGAGAAATCTAACAAAAAAAAATTGTTGTACAAACATAAGCTTAAAATCGATTTTTTTTATATTTGAGTACTCTTGATATTTTACTGTTGAGTGGATACTTTCTTAATTTAGACGACTTATTTGTTTTATGATTTTTACTTAATTGAAATATGTATTTATTGTATCTAATAGGTATAATTTATATTTACAGGGACTGTATGCAATTTATTTCTTCATTTAGATTTCCCTTATGCATTGAGAAACCGATAAAAACTCAACCCAGGTTTTCCTCTCAAAAAACACCCAACAACACAACAAATCGTGCTACGGTTTTTTTCAATATTTTTAACTTTTTCCGGCTTTATTCTCAAAAATACTCGTTTATAACATACGCGATTGACAGGTGCTTATTAAAAGATGAATTCTGGTTACGATGATAAAGGCCACGTGGTTGCGCTACTAGCGATGTTTCTTTAGCGTATAAGAATTAATATATTTATATTAATATAATCGTTATTACATGTGAATTATTTAAACTCAACGGAATTGAAGCTTTAAGGGCCGGTTTTTCAATCAAAGTTCCAGCTTGAATTTGGTTTAAACTAAATCAAAAGATGAACTGTTCAACTTGACATAACTTAATTTTTCTCTGCTTTATTGTGTATTACGTTGTTTTGTAATCTGCTGTTATAATAAACCAATGGATATGTTTGAGGTAGTTAGTGAGGATGATGAGGAAATTGGCGAATTCCTAAATAATATTCAACTTCGTGTGCACAGGCCACGGGTAAGACTGAATCATTTTGAAAGGTGGATTAATGATGAATTTTTGCCAGATTTCGGTTTTCCAAACCTTTTGTACCTAAGATAGTGGATTTAATTAGACCAGTTATTGCAAATCCGACCAATAGGTTAGTTATAAAAAAATTACTGAATAGGTAGAGATTTTAGTAAAATTCATCACATATAACAAAAAACGACAAATTCATTTTATAATATAAAACGAAATACATACAAATAATTCCTCCTTAAAAGAGGTAAAGTTGGCAGCACGATTTGTATCCATAATAAATAATAATTTTTGTTCTTTAACAATAATAAATTGTTTTAAAGCACCCCCGATAAAGAAAGATTTTATATAGTTGTATATCATTATATAAAATGTATATAGAGTTATATATAATTCACATATAAGGGGCCGTTCATTAATTACGTGAGGTGTTTAGGGGGGGAGGGGGTCGTGCCAAACCTCACTAAATCTCACATGGGGGGAGGGGGGCCTCGGCAAATATCACGTAATTTTTTTTTCCGAAAGAAAGAGTGTAAAATTGCGAGAAAACTGGGTTCAATTAAGTAAACAATTATAAGCAAATTGTTTTTTTTTTAATAAATCTAATGGAATCAAGCACAGATTAACTTATTTACATTAAGACCATGCATTTTAAAAAATCTCACGTGAGATTAAGGGGGGGGAGAGGGGGGTCGAGCAAAATCTCACGACATCACCAAGGGGAGGGGGGGGTCGAAAAATCGCGAAAATTGTCTCACGTAATTAATGAACGGCCCCTAATTATATAAAGTTTATATATAATGATATACAATTATACATAATTCTATATAAAATATTTATTAAAAAATATGGAATTTATATAATTATATACAATTATATATAACTCTCTATGAAATTTTATATACTTTTATATAATTATATACAATTTCCAATTATATATAATTATATATTAGACCCTATTAAAGTGTCTATATAATTATATAGTATCATATACAATTCTATATAATTATATACAATTCTACAAAATTATATATAGGTCTCTTTTAAGGTATTTTAAATTGTTTATAATTTTATATAATTATATACAATTCTATAAAATTATATACCTATAAGTCTCTTTTAAGGTATGTAAAATTGTATATAATTCTATACAATTTTATATAAATATATATAAGTTTTTTTCAATTGACAAGGTATATAAAATTGTTTATAATTATATACAATTCTATATAATTATATATAATTTAAGAAAATTATCCAAATACCTGGATAATGACGTCATTAAAAAAATTATTTTGATTACCAAAAAAGTAAGGATTATTTAATATTATGTGGGTAAGTGATAATGATTCTTATAAATCGATTTATTTTTGGTGAAGATTCGCAAATAGAATTTTAATTAAAATTTCTGCCCTTGACTAAAACGCCATAAAGTAACACCTTGTCAATGTGTATTTAAAATATTTTGGAAACATGAACGATACTGGGAGTGGAAGTGGGAGTAGAAAAACAAGATTACATTTTGCGTATTTGTTATATGACCACAAAATACAACTGGATAGCAGCCAACTTAATACGCATGCGCAGAAATCACGGCTGGTAATTAATAATTGTTCAAACACTTTAAGCAACGATTGTTTGTGAGGTATTAACATATTTAGAGGTCTCTAAACAATAAATAGGGTAGTAAGCGTCAGTTAACCTTAAAAATTTAATTACAAACGCAATCTGTACTCATTTAATAATTTAGTTTGTGTTAATTTGCCGCCATACGTTATGGTGGTAACACTGGAGTTTTTGAGAGAAAGCTAAGATGGCGTGTTTTAGTGTTCTTTGTCGCCTTTTGTTAGAAGAAATTCTTTTTTTGTGGCGTGAATCTAGATATCGTATTCTTCATAAAGTGTGTTTGTTATATTATAGTGTTCTCTTCAAGTTAAAGCTTAAATAAAACTAATTTGCTTGACTGATTGTTATAATTTGGATATTTCAACAACCATTAGAAAGTTCCAGTGCTTATTAATTGTGTATTTTTAAGTTTAGGGTAGTAATGCTATAATAATTTTTTGTTTCATATTAAGCTGTCTTTCAAAATATGTAAAAATATACAGGATGTCCCATTAAAAAAAAATGTTATTTTTGTATTAACTTTGGAAACCCGACGTTCAATTGTTTTTTCTGTAAAAATACCACTAATTTGCTAATTTAACCGACTTTGTAGCTCCAATAATAATGGTGGGCAGGTTTTGATGACATTATATTTTTATATTCCTGCATAAAGTCACTAACTGTCATTTTGTGAAAATCTTAAAAAACATAGTTGTGTGGATTGTTGTTTATATATCCAAATAACCATATACTTAATGTATAAGTCATATATGCATATAATGCCTAAAGCACTTACTCACTTTTATACATTAAAGATAAATGGTAAAAGGTAAATTTGGTTAGTAAATTTAAACTTCAAGATTTTTACAAAATTTCAGTTGGTGACTTTTTGCATTATATATGATTATATATAATTATATATAATTGTATAGAATTCTATATAATTATATCGGGTCGGTTTTCTTATATAATTATATATATTTCTATATAATTGTATTGAATTCTATCCAATTATATCGGGTCATTTTTTTATATAATTATATATAATTTTATACAATTATATACAATCTTTTTTTATCGGGCCCTTTCGTACAGATCATAGATAACAAAGCCTTTTTTTTTGGTACAGATTAGAACTTTTTAAAACAGCACAGATAAACAAAACTCCAAAAGTAAACGCAAAATGCTTTTGTCAAAATGACAGTTTTAACTACTATTAATGTAGGCGTATACTAAATTCGGTTGTACCAACTTAACGTTGACACCGCTGATCTAAGTTCAACAGAACTGCTGTTGAGTCGACATTGAAAAACTTATTTGACTGTGAACTGAGTTCATTAACTGATCTAAGTTCCCCTGAACCAAGGTTTAAACCCTAATTGAAAAACCGTCCCTAAAGAGTAGAGTTTGGCTTGTACCTGTGAATGCTACGAGGACGGAATGTGTCCCTTGGAGATCGAGTTGCTGGGTTGCTGTTTCGGCGAAGAGTGCAGCAACAACTTGGTCTCCTCCGTCGGAGAATGGTCCTCCATCGGCGGAGGCGGCGGACAAATGTAAAGGGGCACTTCACTCACACTCTCACTGCACTGCTGCTTTAACTTTTCCTGCTTCGCCGCCTGCTTCTCCTTCAAATAGTCGTCGAGCAGAAACAGCTGCGACTTTAATGTTCTAGTCCTCTCTAATTCGTGCTGATAAGCCGGCAGATTTTTCGATGCAGTTTTCTGGCTGAGCGTGCGGTGACGCGCCGGCGGCGAAGACAGTCTCTTGTTCGGCGAGTATTCGTTTCCGGAACCGCAGTCGAAGCCGGAAGAGTTGTCCGAGATGAGGCGCTCGCTTTCCGGGTCGGCGTTGCGGTTGCTGCTGCTGTCGGACTTCTTTAAAATCGATTTCGATCGGCGGTGCAACCCCAGTTGCGGACTTGTGCGGCTGTCTATTGATTCGATCGATAGGGAAGATTTGCTACCACTGTTTTTACCTATAAAAGTCACATTTAAATTAGATGTGTGTCTTTTGTATTATTTAGTTTCATGCAATTTTCACTAATAACACTATGATAGTTTTACAAACTTTTTTTTCCTAACATTAAGTACTCCAGCTTAGTTTAACTAATTTTGGGCCGCTGATTTCAAAAATGTTATTAGTTTTTTTCTAGGACGTCTAGGATTTAAAATAATTTCGTAATAAAATGCTCTGCTCAATCACCTCAAAATGTAATTTTTTGTTGGTATTTTAATTATTTATTACATTATTTTGGCTTAAATTTATCTTCAATGTACTAAAGTTATTGGCATACGGCAAATAGATCATATTTATCTTAACAATATGACATTTTAAATACTAAAACTAAAATTTTAATGTATTTTATGTAAAAAAAGATCCATTATTTGACATTTTTTCTGGTTTATTTTAATGATTAAATTAAAAGGCAACAAAGTAAACAAATTTCGGTATTTTTTATCCAAATTAAGCCCTCAAAATTTAATGCATTGCATAATATTGCTTTTTTCTAACTTAAATTTATTAAATCGTATCAAATATCAAATTGGAATATAGTATTATTGTGCTTAATTCTCATCATCGTCGTACATCTTTTGCTGCAAATTTCAGCAAATGTCTCCTAGCAATGAATCCAACTTCTTTCCGCTATACCCATAGATATCTACCAATGCTCTAGATTTGCAGTTACTTGGTGAAATCGTTCTTCATGTTCATCAGTTCGGCAAATTTATCAGGATAAAAAAAAGAAAATGTATTTTAAATGATATAACGCATTTTTTCAATGAATTGGCGCCAATTTTAGGCCCGTTGTGAACCAAAAACATTTTCAATGACAGCTTTAACACTGCCATATGCGACAAGCTCGTCAACTTTGAGAGCATTTTTGAATGCTCGATCTTTCATTAAAGTCGTATATCAGGTCCATTTAATATTCCTGCAAAATTAAAGTAGTAGGTATACCTCATAAAATTTTGTAATGAAATATTGCGTTGGTTTTGCTTGGGCATAAAGGTACCGCAACAAAAACAAAACAAATTTATAACGATGACATAAATGGCCGTTTCCTTTCTCTTTCTCTGCCATCTTTTTTATTTTTGGTTTTTAAAATCACTTTCAAGTAAAAATACAATTTAAAGTTTAAATTTTAAATGTCAATAATTAATAGATACACTTTAGTGTGCTTGAACGATAAAGTAGATCACAGAGGTTTTTCTATGAAGTAGATAAAGGCGCCTTTATACTTCAATTAGATATTAAATTTTGATAAGACTTAATAAATAAGATTCGAGATTAAATTTTTGGGTACTTTAGGCATGATGTGAATAAAAGCATATTAAATAATAGGCCGAAACCCATTTACTTTGTTGCCTTTTCAATTTAATTATTAATTAAAAAAATACACAAAAATTAAAAAAAAATGATACTTACTTTTTACCAAAAAAAACATTATAATTTTAGTTTTGGTATTTAATATTATTAAGTACACTCTGCAGAAAAGTGCTTTGTAAAATATCCCTTATACAATACTACTATAGTATACGGCTACAATGTAACAAACAAAATTTCTATTTGAAAAAAAACTTACATTTTGAGATAAGTGGACAAAGCATTTTATTACGCAATTATTTAGAATCCTGGAGCAAAACGAGTGGCATTTTTGAAATCAGCAGCCTAAAATTAGGTAATATAGGTGAGCTTACTCAATGTTAGTAATTCGAACTATCATAATAGGTCGGGTAAAGCACTATTAAAAAAACATTTTTTTGTTGTAATTTACTGGACAACATAAAATATGTTTTCAACAGACAGATTTTAAAACATAATTTTTAGTCAATTAAGATCGGCCAGGAAATTAGATCACTACGAATAGTTTTAAACCGAATTGGTTTTTATAAAAAGACTAAAAAAACAGTGTTAAAATAATGAGTGCTGTACTTTAGGTCTAAAACTTTTTGAACTCTTCATTTAACTCATTTTCTGTGGTGTGATTCAGCGGGTAGTAAAAAGTTTTAAAACATTTTTGTGGTCGGATAGCAAAATGTAACATTTTCCTATTTTAAAGACGATCTATCAAACAAACATTTTGCTATCCAATAAAACTTATATATATTAAATTAAATTAATTCGCTATTTATCGCTAGTATAGATCTATTTCTACAGTATTTATTAAACTTTTACTAAAAATCCTACGTAAAAATGATCTAAATATACTTATATTTTAAGAAAAATTTAACAAGCTGCATATAACGTTCTTCAACAAACCTAAATATTCCAAACCTGTATAGATATTAAAAAGTATGTAGGTATAAAATAAAAAAGTGAAACATATTTTTAACCAAATTGTAGACTTTTTAAATTATTAGTATTTAAATGTACCTATACAGGGTGTCCCAAAAGTACCGCACCACCTTGACGGTTAAAAATTCTACGTTCAGTATTTTTAAAGATATGACAGTTTTTAAACTTAAAGATTATATGTTTACCTTGTTTATATTATTTTAAGTATTATTGTATACAGTATGTATGTCAATAGGAGGGTATTTTTATATTATTCATTCTTAATAAAAAGTTTTGAAAACATGGAACTTACACAAGGATCACCGAACTCAATAGGGAATTGACAGAATCTGGCTACTAAATCACATAAATTATTTGTTCTTGTTTTTACCACTATCTGCGCTGATTTCCATTTTGTGTAGGTACAGTAACATTAACATAAAAAATTCGGGATTATATCTAGAAAGTGAAAAACATAAAATCGAATTACGACGGAAATTGTAGTTGCTTTCTTCTTGTTTTTTAACTACAGGGTGTTTAAAATATCCTGAATAGATTTTATGTTTTCCCCCACTTTTTAACACGCTCTAGTTAGAATTCTAAATTTTTTTACGTTATTATTTTGACACTTAAAAATCAAAATTAGAAATGTAAATTAAATCGATCCTGGAAAAAAAGAAAAATCAACCTAATAATTTTCATCGTAATTTGTGCATTTATACTTTTTAATTACAAACGACTTTTTTTATAACATTTAAAAAAAAATTAAAAATGAAGGTTGCTAGATATTATATTAGGTGTTTTCGCGGTGCTAATCCCGAACTAGTTTGGACATCCTAGGCATGCGCATTTTAATAATTACTTCTTTTACCCCAAATTTTAAAAAGCGTATGCCTAGGATGTCCGGAATTAGTTCGGGATTAGCTCCGCGAAAATAGCTATTATATTATATCGATCGTCATGTTCCTGCCAAAAGTCACTAACTGAAATTTTGTAAAAATGTTAACAAATTATACCTATATTTATATAAATATACAAATTTACAATATCTTTAATATTTAAAAGCCACTAGATGCCTAGAATATTAGAAATGGTCGTTTTGCATGGTTAAAAAACTGATGTAATAGGTACATTTATTTATTTTTTTTATCTTTAAACTCAATAATAAAATGTTAGTTACTGACTTTAGGGATATGACGATATTATAATATATATATATATTATATACATATCCAAGGAATCAGGTTTTCATAATTTTTGTACACCCTGTAGATAAAATCCCAAATTTTTAATGTCAATATAACTTTTTCGTCGATTAAAACTTTTATCAAGTGGTTCAAATAAACAAAAATATTTTTTTCACTCTTGTAGTTAAACTCGATTCAGGGTCATACTGTAGATTGGGCCTAATGATGTTTAAACTATGGTTTTATTAGGACATCCTGTATTTTTGGAAACATTTTTTAATTGTATTACCATACCTTTCGAAAGTAATGCTAATAGAACACATGGATTTTGAAAAAAAAAATTGAATATTTTACCTGATCTGGATCCAGACATATTTTGCAATCCAAATAAGTGCTGATTTATTATCCTTGTGGCCGAAGCCAGACTCCTTGCTGGTATAAAGGACTTCTTTTTCTTTTCCAAACTTTCCTGAGAATCTCTATTAAAGGCATCCCCAAATCTTGTGCGAGGCCTGCCACCCTAAATACAAAAAACGGATTCATTTTAAAAATGACTTTACTCATAATTTTGTGTACACCTGTCAACCTTGGCTACCTTATTTTAATTGTTTCCCTAACAACTGTATTTGGATGTGGAATAGTTTAGCTTGTTAGAAAGACAGCGTTGCCAAGTATAATGTATTAAATATAAATAGATAAGAAAAGTAATTAGGTACTTTATAAAATATATTTTACCTGAAATCTGGTTTTTCTGTGCTTCGGCAAAGGAGAGTCGTTAAGACTGACCCTGCTTCCTCTTTCCATCGGGCCGAAACCTCTGAACCCTTCATCCATAGGCGACGTTGCCAAACTTCTCAGGGCTGTGTCGCCGGACGCCGATTTTTTCACTCCAGTCGTTCTGTTATTTGTGGTGACAGGAGGTGCAGGGGTCACCGGACTATTATCGCTGCTTTTATCCAATGGATTCACGTAAAGATTACTGTCCATCCCGCAAGACGGATCGGCTATGTCTGATGTTAAATCGCCCTGAAAAAAAAACATGGCACCTTGATAAATATATTGGAAAAAGTTGCCGTACTTTAACATTACTGGTATAGTCGCCGGCGCAAATGTTTTCCGTTGCGTCATCAATTTGTGAACCAAGACATTACAATTTGCTGTTTTCTTGGTATAAGTATGTGCACATATGGGATTAGGGGTGTCAATCCCGGGATCCCAAAATCCCGGGGTCCCGGGATCCCGTAAAAAATCCGATCCCGAAAATCCCGGGATCAAAGTCCCAATCCCGGGATCTTAGTAATACACTTTTTTTTCAAGCGTATGAAAATTTTCATATTGTAATACTCATAAGCATATATAGAAATACTATACTATAAAATTACATAGCAAGAGTGGTCCCATCTATCGCGTTTAGAATTAGCTAAGAAAATGTAAAATTACAGGTCACTGTAAAATAAATTTATGTACATAACCTATAATATGACATATTATTTTAAACGTCAAACCTGAAAAAAGGTCAAAAACTCGATAATTTCAATGTAAGTTACAGCCCCCATTGAAACTCACCAAGGCCCGATTGATAAAAAAAATTGAATTATTTGTTAATGTGGGTAAACGTGGTTACAATGTGCCTACGAATTCTTGAAAACCATTCCTCCAACCAGTGAAAAGTCGGAAAGATATCGTTCGTTAGTTTGTTCCTTTATTTTAAATTGGTTTTAAAATTAATGATATATATTTTTACGGAACTGATCCTGGGATTAATTACCTTTGGTCCCGAAAGTCCCGGGATTGGAAAAAGGGTTTGGGATTGACACCCCTATATGGGATGTATGGCGGACGTATGTCGACAAACCGGTTTTTGACATTTAAAATTGATGAGGCAACGGAAAACATTCGCCGCAGCGACTACAGAACTCTTATTTTTACTTTATCAGATATGAGGTTAGAACATTTACAAATTTAAAATTACTACTTACTTTTTTATAATTCGTTACAAAATCTAAAACTATATAAACTAATAGAAAAGAAGAATTCCAATCTTAATAAACATCTGACGTATGTATTCGGTTCTGAGGGCTCTGTGAGTGCGCTTTAACTCCAACAACGATGCAGTGTCATGAGTAAAGATGGGATTTTAGTGGTATTACTTATTTGTCTACGCTAATTATAACTTTAGGTGCAATGAAATAAAATCAGTTTTAATGAAAATAATTTCATTTGAGCCTGATTTTTTTTACCTAAGTTTTAATTTTTAAGAGAAAAGCACCTAATTTTTAACAGAAATAAACTAAATTTTCAAATTTTACTATAAAAAAAATGCTTTTGTGTAAAATTGTGGTGGTCGAATTTGGATGATTTGGATAATTCTTATGCACGATGTAAATATTTTTTTGAACAGCGACCACATACTTTCACACATATACTGCTTATTCGCTATATTTTTTATAGTTAACCTTGTTTCCTCTTTGATGGAAAATTTTTTCGATATGCCGTATCATTTTACCTTATGCGCGTAGTCATGTCATAAGTGGGGGATTTAAAATATATGATACCATAGACATATTAATACGTCCACGTATGATATGAATTGTCAACTAAATAAAATTTAGGGTTAGGTATATCAAATTTTTCTTAATCATTTGCTTACATCGCCGCTGTAAAGCCTAACCACAACAATACAATGAAGAAAAGCAATTCCAAAACAATTGCTATACAACAGAAAACAAACAAAATGGTTTATTATAAAAACCATCTACATATTAATATGTCTATGATAAAATCCTTTTCGCTATCGTGGTCAAAATACGACGTTGCCAAATTTTTGCCGCCAGGCATGCGCCTCAATGCAATAATACGGGTATACGAGGTGTGTTCAGAAAATAACGGGAATTGTTAAATTTCGCAGGTTCGGAGGGTGCGGTTGTCATAAAATTTTCTTCTTTAAGTATAATAAAAACTATAGCTGTTTTCATTGTTTACTTTGTCTGTGGCAGCCGCTAAGGTTAGACGTGTTTTATGAGCTCGGCGATTTTTCGTTCGTTAAAAGAAATGGATCAAAGAATTTGTAAATAAATTCTGTGAAATGTTAACAAAGGCCTATAGTGAGTCTGCTATAAGTAAAACAAGAGTTTACAAGTGGTATAAGGGTTTCCAAGATGGCCGTGAAGACGTTGAAGATGACGAACGCCCCGAACGCACAAGCACATTAACAACCTATAAAAACATGGAAAAAGTGGAAGAAATGGTTATAAATCATCAGAGAAGTCGCTGATGATGTTGGTATATCGATTGGCTCATCCCATTAAATTTTTTCAAATGTTTTGGATGGCAAAAAAAATTGTTCTAAAATTGTTAAATTTTGAACAAAATGTTTGGCCAAAAACAATACTGTAATGATGCCCCAGCTTCCATATTCGCCAGACATGCCTCTGTCTGACTTTTTCCTATTCCCAAAAATAAAGAGAACCTTAAAGGGCCGTCGTTTTGCAAGCATAGATGACATTAAAAGCGCATCGCTGAAAGAACTAAAGGCTATCCCAAAGATCGAGTTTTAGAAGTGTTTCGAGTATTGGAAGAAGAGCTGGCACATGTGCATAATATCCAATGGGGACTATTTTGAAGGCGACAACATTAATGTGGACGAATAAATAAATATTTGTTTCAAAAAACAAAAATTCCCGATATTTTCTGAACACACCTCGTATTTACTTCCCCTACTTTAACCCCATGAAAAGGAAACAGTTCCAGTTAAATATGATTTGTATATGTATATTTAAAATAAATCTCATGTTATCATATTTTATTTAAAAATCTTAAGCATTATCACAAATTCTAGCAAATTTCATGAGAAAGTATTTTTTGTAACATTTGTATCATAATTATGTTATTGTCCGCAATTGTATGCCTGTTTACAAAAACATTTTGAATGTGCCGCCGCGGTATTATAATATTTTTACAAGATATATTCGTCAGTTATTTTCAAACTTTTAAAATTATACAAATCTTGTTCAATAAAATTGTATACAATAGGTACTAAATTAAATAATTTGACCAGCTAAAAGTTGCTTTTTAGTACTTATTTTCGTACGTAGGTACCTAATTTAAGAATGTTCTTACCTAAAACCGGAAGAAACGTTACCTATCTAGGTACAGTGGGGGACAGGGAATTTTGAACTACATAATTTAAAACTGTCTTAATGGATTTTGGTTATAACCATTCTTCCCATCGTGACATCGATAGCAAAGATGATCATAATTGCTGGCATTTTATCAGTAGTAATAGTAGTTAAATTGAAGCTTTTAAGAAAATAAACTGACATTTTTTAAAATTACAGACATTTGATGTTCGAAATTCCGAACTTTATAATTTGGTTGTCCATGGACATGCATGTATAAATTTGTAAATATCAAAGATACAATATTGACCATTTTTTTTCGCTGTCAAAATGACAAAATTAGTGACCGATATAAAGGAAGTTTAGATTTTGATGTCAACAGGATATTGGTCATTCAAAATTTCGTGTCTACCACTGTACCTATTTTAGATCTTCAATCTAAAATCCCATCTCCAGTCATGACGTTGTTGGCGTAAATTTTACTTAAAATTATCTGTTTTTTAACTGTTAAAATAAATTTATTATTAATTTATCCATAATTTTTATTTGAAATGTTCCAACCATTCAAATAATCAGCAAGCAGCAAAAATACCCAAAAAGATTTACTATTAAAATAACAAAAACATTTGTTTTCTAGAACACTCTTCATTATTATTGACCTACTCCCAGATGATAATCAAAATCCCCATTTCTTATACACCAAACAACAGACTGCTCGATTAAACTGACCTGAGAGTTGAAGGGATGCGTTGTGCAACTAGCGAAAGTGTCCGAGCTGTCCATGCTGGCCAAATCCCCGTTATTATTTCCTTTATTTTGCATATTGAACTCCAAAAAGTTGGCAAAGTTGTAGGCCTGTTCCTGGGCCCTTATCGTCCTCATTTCCATGCACACTGGGTTACGAAACTCGCTGGTAGGCAGTGGCATTAGATTTTCCGCATCTACGAATTCCTTGAAGTCCTGCGGGACACGACGTTTCGCAAATTGAATTATTAAGTTAACATTACACTTGGACTTTGGTCAAATGATAATACGCAATATGTCACCGCATAAAGTAATTTGAGTTGAATTGTTTGCTCTTGGAACGATATGAAAATTTTCAAAAGCCAACTAGAATAACTAACTGTTCATAGGATCTTAATAATATGATTAATTCATAAAAATATCAAAATCTCCAAACCAATCATTTAGATTTAAAAATAAGTATGTAGTTTAAATAAAGTTAGCATTTATGATATATTTATAAATGTATTCATTAAAAACTTTTTTTTTAATGGAAATTTGATACATATAGACAATGTCTATTAGACATCCCATGAACCGTAATATATACGAAGTTGCTTAAATTACAAAGAGTTGCGATATTTTATGACCATTTCAAATATATGTAAAGAAATCTAGGATACCTTCTACCAATTCTGAAATATCAAAAAAAGTGAAAAACTGCAATCCTTTATAACTTTTTTACTATTGCATCTATCAATTTAAAACTTGATATTTTGACATCAATAATTTGGTGGGATCATTTGTTTTTTCCTACGCCCACTAGTTTTTGAGATATAATGGCCAACTTTGATTTTTCATCAAAAAATACGTATAAAAGTTTTTTAAAGAGTTTTCGAAAAAAATCCTTAAAACACGGCTTTAATAAAAAATTAAACAAAACTTGACAACACAAGCACAAAATGCATTAAAAAAAAATATCCAAACCGATAAAACTTTCAAAAATTGAAAATTCGACATCTCAAAAACTACCTGCCAAAGAAATACAAAAATCAGTACTTATCTTTACATACGTACAAAACATATCCCAAATTAATCAAAATCGCAAATGTAAACTCATTTGTTAGGTAAATTTGGCATAAAAATACAGTGTGGCCCATCGAAAACAGTCCAGTAAGGTTTAGGGCTTTGTATGTGAAAATAAAAAATGCGAACAACACCCGATATTCTTCACAATGTCCGGGAACAATTTGAACAGTTGTTGTACTATTGTTTGGAGGTGAACGTAAGTACAATTAAATTAAATTTCTCGGCAACCCGCAGAACAAATTTGAAAAACAAAGCTCAATTTTAATGAACATTTAATGCCCTTTCAAAACATACCCCTTCACTTTAGAAAAAATTCACAGGGATGAAATTATTTTGAAAATATGTCACCCTGAAAACAAAAGTATACGAATCAGAAGTTTTTTTTATTTTCAAAAACTCTCTAAAAATGAATTAGTCAAAAATGACTAATTGTCATAGCGAAAAAGCAGCCACTAATAATTCTCGTCAATAAAAATTTGTATTCCGAACATTAGAAGTCAATTTCGATGTCTTTAAAAGTTATAAAAGTAGAACAGTTTTTTAAGATATAGTCAATTTTTCCATATAATGTGGAATTGACTATATCTCAAAAACTGCTCTACTTTCATAATTTTTTACATAAGAATTGGCTATTAAATGTTGGGGATATCATGGTATCCCATGGTTAACCATAGTATTAGTGAAAAAGCAGCCACTAATAACTGTAGTAAATAGTCATTTTTGACTAATTCATTTTTAAAGAGTACAAAGCCGTAAACCTTGCTGAACTGTTTTCGATGGGCAACCCTGTATATATGAACATAGGAAATACCATCTTTTAAATTTTTTATTAAAAAAGTGCAATTTTTCTTCATATGAAGATTATATTTATAGTTCATATTATGAACTATGAATGATAAAAAATTGTTTGTTTTTTATAGAAAATATTAAAATTAACCTACTAGAAAGTAGATTTTTTAAAAAATGGTGGCCCTGATTTGGGTTATTTGTAATTTTTTTACGATAGTCCTAAATCGGTTCCAAATAAATAAAAAAATATTCTGACAAGTTTCAGCTCTTATTAGTATTAATTTCAATGTATTTCAATGTATTTTTAAAATCAAACTATATACAATTTTACACAAATGTAGTGTAAAAAAATGAATAAAAAAATTTTTTAGGTTGTTTTCTTACTTATAGATCTTTTTTTTTAATTTTCTGCTATTTAGCCCAGTCTAATTAGGGGTTTACTTTGGAAAGAACATTTTTTTAATGCAAACTTAAATATTAATTTTTTTCATAAATTATTACCATTTACTAGTTATAAAAATACAAAGTTCTATTTAAAGGCCTATATTAATATTAACTTTTAAAATTTATTTTAAACCGATTTAGAACAATCGTGAAAAAAGTTAGGACCGTCATAATATAAATATTATGTTAGTTAATGTAAATCATAATAAAAAATTCAAAAATTTTATTTACATCAATTAGTAAAATTTAATTAATTTAATTAATTAAAATAATTCCCTTAAAAGAACTTTAAAAGTTATAAATGATAAGGTTGAAAAACAATAAAGTCATAAAATATTGCAAACAAAATGAAAATTATTTAAAAAATATGATATCGTATTATATATAGCGAATAATCCAGATTGTATATTATTTTTCAAAAAATCAATTCCTAATAAAATTCAAATTTATATAAATAATGTTTATGAAGTTAAAACATTGCCAAATTCATAAAGTTTTTGACAATTTTTCATTGAAAAATAAACAACCTGTATAGCGAAATGGGAAACCCCTGAAATAATGTATTCTATAAAACACTAATCTACTTAAACTCTAAAATCTAATCAAAGATCTAAGTACTCGTGCATTTAATTTTCGTAAAGCCAATGAGTTTGTTGAAATAAAATAGGTATTAAAAAACTAAGGTGCGTGCAAAGGTGACCCGAACAAAGAGCTTGCGTGCAAAATTTTTAATGTAAGTAAATTTAACAAACCATTACCTAAAGACTTGGACATGCCTATATGCACTTATTCCATTACTCGTATCTACTCTAATTTAATAGTTGTGACAAAATTGAAAAATTTTGCAATTATATTGAAACATGTTATTATTTTATTAACTTTTAATTATAATTATCGCTTGGTATTTAATTAATTAATAAATACAAATTTGACTTTGAATAATATTATTAATTAATAACTGTGTAATTGCTTTATGGATAAATTTCGTACACATCAATACCATGCCTTTGTAAATGTATAATTTTTTATTGAAATCCAGTTTATGTGTATTGGGGTGATTAGTTTTAAAGGAACATTTATTTTTGTTGCCCCAAGCAAAATATTGAAAAAAAAAATCCCTTAAAGTTTTAACCCTTTATTTTAGTAATAAATTATTTATATAATTATTATATTTAGACCTGATACAGTATACAGTATACGTGTCACCAAAGTCATATTTTTAATAAAAACGCAAAACGATTAAAGTTACAGGTAAAAAGTAAAGAAAGCTTTTATGAAAAATTCAATTTTCTACAAAAAAAGCTCATGCAATAAAATGCAAATTTAAAATATATTGAGAATTTAATAAATTTAACTGTCAACTACTAAGTGACCTTTTAAATTCACGTTGTAGCTTTATGACCTTTTAGTCACGGGTTAGTTTTAAGTTAGTTGACAGTTGTCAAATGTCATACAATTGTTTAAATAAAGTATGGCTTTTGTAAAATAATACCAAATGTAAAAATTATTATAATACAAATAAAAGTATTAAATAGTTTCTCAACGCCAATATTTGAAAAGTTTGAAAGAACATTGTACTGACAATTAATACATTATCTATATTTGACAGTAAAATTTATTAAATGCTCTATATGTTTTGTTGGAATAATTTCTTACAAAAATATTTTTATCTTTTAACCTGTAACTTTAATCATTTTATTGTAAAATGCAAAAAATAATAATATTGTTACTATAATAAAAAAGTATGGTTAGGCCACTGCTTTTTTATGTATTTGATATTAAATTAAGTTTAAGCAATTAAAAATCCAACTTTTTTGTCTCTTGAATTTTTCCTCTATATTGCTTATTTTTAAGAAAAAAAAAAATTTTTCCAGGGGCGAACGAATAAACAAAATTTATATTTATACTGAAAATTAAACAAGATAAAGAAAAAATGCAAGAGACAAAAAAATTATATTTTTAATTAGGTACTTAACTAAAAATATTATTAAACTTATAAAAAAACCGTGGCTTACCCAATCTTTATTTTTAAATATCTAGTTGGATGCCCCATTAATAACTTTACCATCCTGTATCTAAAAAAGTTCTATTGACTACCAAAATTTACCGATTTGAATTTGAGACACCGACATAGGTTGTATTAAAATTTTCTACAAATCGCACTTACGTTAATTGTAGTAGCCAACCTATAGGAAATTGAGCAAAAAATACTTAATTTCCTATTTTATACAATGGAAAAACTTTAAACTTAGGAGTAAGAATAAGGGCTACAATTTTAAGGTTTTTTTTCTCGATTTGTACATTAATATTTTGCTTGGTGTGAAAAAAATTATTGTTCCTTCAAAACAAACCATCCTAATGTGTACAAAATATAACCCTAAAGAAATTAACTTAAATAAATATCGTTTCAAAAATGGCGAATGCGCCGGGTTATATGTACTCATGGCGCATCCGCCAAAATTGCAAAAATAATTACATCAAACCTTCGAATAAATAAGCAAATAATTAACTAAATATAAATTTAATTTGCAACATGAAACTGCTTTCATACAAAAACAACGTTAATTTATTTTACAAACAAAGGTTTATTCACTATTTACAAACTTGTGTGCTCTGTGAACATAAAAGTTTAACGGAAATTAAAAAACGAGTAGAAATAAAAACAAAAAGAAATTAATTTGGACAAAAGGATTTTGTATCGTTCAATTTATAGAAGTTGTTTTATTTATTAAATTAACAAGGTTTTACAATTACAATCCAATTTGATTTTTTAATTATCTTACATTTAAGACCAAAAGAGAGTTATTTTCAAAATATCAGATTTTTGATTAAGGGATCAAGCTTAATTAGGAAAATAATTAAATTATTTTCAAAATTTTATACTTGTATGTTACGCGATAGAGGGTTTTATATAA